AAACCACAAGCTCTTGCAAGGTCAATAAACATATTTCCTTTTTTTTTTTTTTTTGATAAGGTTCCTAGAATGAAAGAATGCTTACATCTTACATTTGCACATTTTGCAGTTTTGTAAAACACTTTTACATATTATTTCATTTATTAATCTTTATAAGCTTTGACAGAATGCATTTGGGGAATCTGAGGCACGGAGAAATAAAGTGGCTTTTATTCAAAATGGAAGGAAAATGAAAGGTAGCAGAGTTGGCACAGCTATAGAGTTGCATTTCAATAAGGCATTTGATGAAGTTCTTTATGGCAGCCTTGGGATTAAAATAGAGAAACATAGCCTGGGTGATATAATTGAATGGCTTATTCACTCACTCATGCCTCAAAATAAACAGCTTTACTTTTAAGTAAATTCTATGTGTCAGGAACTGTGCTCAGTGCTGGAGATACAAAGATAGATAAGCCATTGTTCTTAGGGAGGCTCAGAGTTGAGTGACGAAAGAGACATGTAAAAATATAATAGCAATAAGGCAACAGTATAATGTTGTAATGAAGTTAGACACAAAATACCAGGGGAATGTAAGAGGTCCCCAAAGGGTGGTCTTCAGGTTGCTGAGAGCCTGTTGGCACGTTTCCTCTATGTGTAAAACATGATACTTAGGAAGATAAGAAATCTGAAAGAGGACACACTCAAAATACAAAAATGCCTTAAGTAGACAGGAATAATTAACCATAACTAACACAAATCAATATATATGGCAAGTATAAAGTATTTCAGATGCAGAACAACTGCATGAATGTATGGAAGGGACTGTCAGGGATAGCAGCGTAAGTAAACTTAAGATCTACTGTTGATTGTAAGCTCAACATGAGCTTCGAACCTTATTTTCTTAGCTGAAGTTAAAGGAGTAAAGTATCCAGCATAAGGGTGAGTATTCTGCTCCTCTTGTGGTTGGCACATGTCTTAGCGCCAGTCTTCATTCATGTAAGAGGGAGGTTGGGAATTACATTGTATGGGCAAAATGGTGCCAACAGAATGATGAAAGGCCCTAACCCAAATCTAGTAATGACTGATGGAACTGGGATTGTTGAGAGACCAGATGACACAGGAAAGGATGACTTAGGTGTTCTCAAATACTTGACAGGCTCTCATATTGAAATGATGCTGAACTTATGCTGTCCAAGACCACAGTCAGCATATTCTCATTTTTAATCCAGATGTTGATGCAGTAACACATCCCTCCATAATCTCACTCTCCTTTCCAGACAGATGCTCCAAGAATATAAGAGCCATATGTGTCTTGCTCACTTGGTAACACAGTGCGTTGCTCAGGGAAGATAGTCATGAAATTCTGTTGTAGGAATGAATGAATGTATACATTATTTCATATTTCTCCAAAGGACAGGGGTGAGACCCAAGGGCAGAAGTGTGAAGGGAGATGATAAATAAAATCACTTAATTTGGCTATTTATTTGGATCTCCATGTAAATAAAGATGCAAATGATTCAGATTTTTTAATTTCAACCATTACTCACCTGTTTGGAAAGGAATTTTTATTACCTTTAAATTTTTTCTTCCATGATTGTTGTTAGTCAAAGAAGAGGTAGTTGGGTCTTAGGAGGCCTAAATTGGCATTGTCTTTTTGATTGACCTTGCAAGAGCTTGTGGTTTGTGGCTTCCTAAGAATGGGAGGAACATTGGGAAGGCCTAGATAAGATTTTGTTGGATTTTATTGGCAATTTTTACCTGTAAATGATGGCCCCAAGTGTGTCTGGACATTTAGGGAAAAGGTTGTTGAGGTTTGGCGTCCATTCTCTATTCATTCAAGCTTTTTTTCAAAGGGACCACTTGCATGTTGTGTAAAAAAGAGAAATAAATACTGGTTGCAGAACCATAAGTGAGCTGAGTAGTTCTAGGATTCTGGAGGATTCAGTCTCTAAGCCACTGGCCTATTTTACCCAGGATGGAATGGCCACATGCATTGACCAAATTGCAGAATCGAATCCAAGAATACTGATGTTTTATGCATCACTTAGACTTTGCTGCTTTCTCCCTTCTGGTCTTAAAAGTGTTGGATATGGTAACATATAATCCAGATTAATCAGAGCTTTAAAAAGTACCATTTCCCTTAAACTAGCATGTTACAGTTGGTCAGCAGATCTTGCAGACTGTTAACTCTTATAGCTCATGAAGACATGTGAGATGTTGAGAAATGTCACTCAGTTGCTAAGGGATGACAAACCCTGGCTTTAAAGCTTATTTAATTTCCCTATCTGACCAAGGTCAAGAAAGGAGTCAGACATCAGTTCCTCCATTGTCTAGCCTCTATTGCTGTAAGGTCATCTTACTTATGGAGCATCTCAAAATTCTTGTGGATTAATATTAGCATTCAGGGAGAGAAAGAAGGCATGAGTTTGATCCCCCACCAGAGAGCTTCCCCACATGGCGCAGCAGACCTCTCCTGTCTTGCCCGCTGCTCCCCTCAGCAGTGTATTTCATCAGTCTGCCTGTTCTGTTCCCCACTCTGTCTCTGGTGAATCCTCTCACCCTCTGCACCTCTGATCTACACCCCAGTTCTTCTATGCATAAAAGAATAAATCTTTTAAAAAATTGCTTAAGGGCCTCCCCTGGTGGCGCAGCAGTTGGGCGCTGGGCTGCGAAGCTGCCCGCAGCCTCTGCAGCACCAGTTCGATCCCCAGCCGCTGGCGAGGGTCCGCAACGGACCTCTCCTGCCATGCCCGCTGCTCCCCTCAGCAGTGTATTTCATCAGTCTACCTGTTCTGTTCCCTGCTGTGGCTCTGGTGAATTCTCTCACCCTCCTGCACTTTTGACTGTACCCAGTGCTTGCATAAATAAATAAATAAATCTTTAAAAAAAATTGGTTAAATGCATTTGCAGTTATCTCAATGAGAAGGCCCACAGTGATGATGATAACAATAAAAGCTAATATTTATTTTAGCATGTCTTCTGTGTCAAGCATTGTGCTAAGCACATAACATCTCTTATGTAATTCTCACAACAATGCCATGAGGGAGATGCTATAAAGATCCCCTTCCAATAGATGAGGAAATTCATTAGCAGCAAAGTTAAGAAACTTGTTTGTTTGAAGTCATATAGGTGTTACTGATGGATTAATAATCCTGAGCACCTTCACTGCCAGGTTAGGCTATCTAATTCCTTACTCTTGTCTGATGCTAGCATCATGGAGGGGTGGAAGCCAAAGGAGAGCAACTTGTTTTCCAAACCATCATTCTATTTTTATTTAAAACTTTAATATTGTTAAAAGATATTTTTGTAGTGTTCACATTGTATTTCTTTTTTTTTTTAAAGATTTATTTGTTTATTTATACAAGCACTGGGTACTGTCAGAAGCGCGGGAGGGTGAGAGAATTCACCAGAGCCAGAGCGGGGAGCAGAACAGGCAGAAGGACCGAAGTACACTGCTGAGGGGAGCAGCGGGCAGCAGGAGAGGTCTGCGCGCCATGTGGGACCCTCGCCAGCAGCCAGGGATCGAACCTGCACTGCAGAGGCTGCAGGCAGCTTCGCAACCCAGTGCTCAACCGCTGCACCACCGGGGAGGCCCTTCACATTGTATTTCAATTGGTTTCAATTATTCAGATTTCTTGATGATGCAGCTACCTTGAGAACCACATTCTATAATAATGTAATTCTGTCCAGAAAGTATTGGCTATAAGCAAGTAATATCCACATGAATCACATTTTGTATCTGCTTTCTTTGAAGTTGGTTCTGGCTGGGCCATTATTACAGAGTTTGAAAGGGGTTAAGACAAACTGCTCTGAGTCTTCTGAATTTTAAAAATGGTATACCTTTAGCCCATTAGTTGGAAGAATGACAGCAATAATAGGTAGCACTGATGCAGTGCTTATCTTTTGCCAGGTACAATTCCAAGCACTTTATGTATTTAATCCCCAGGACTCCACTATGAAGTAGGCATTATTATTAGTCTCATTTCACAAGTAAGGAAACAGAGGCAAGCAAGATCAAATAGCTCATCCAAGTTCACATAAGAGACATACTGGCACTTTGGGTTAGACCCAGTTGTGTGACAGGCTTGGGGGTTAAGAAATTTTTAGTTATTAAATTTTTAGGAGTTTAGCGAGCCAGTTGTTCAACTCAACCACTATTAACAATCAAGTTATATAAAGGTACAATTAAATACATTTTAAACAAAGGTTAAAATTTCATCACTTCCTCATTACTCTTAAGTATTCTTGAGGTTATGTATGTCTCCTTTGTGTGGATGATGAAATACATATAAGAACATATTAAGATAATGGCTTGCTACTACGCGTCTCTTTCTAACATATGTTCATGTTGGTAGCATTCAGTCTATTGCTGTAGAATATATACATCACAGAAATCAGCAGTTGCTCCAAATAGAGTCTTAACCTTCTCCCTACAAAGGAGGGGAGACCCTCCCCTTACAAAGAGTTAGTTGTTAAACACTGACCAGCATACCACTGTACAGACAAAGCCCCCAACTATAAACATGGAAACTGAAGAACCCAAAGAGGTGAAGTAAAGATATATTTTATGTATGTATATATGTATGTATGTATGTATGTATGTATTTTTTTAAGATTTATTTATTCAGTTATTTTTAAAGATTTATTCATTTATGCATACAAGAACTGGGGTACAGACCAGAGGTGTGGGGGGTGAGAGGATTTAGCAAAAACACAGTAGGGAACAGAACAGGCAGATTGACCAAAGTACACTGCTGAGGGGGGAAGCAGGCAAGACAGGAGAGATCTGCTGCACTATGTGGGTATCTCCCTGGCTAAGGATCGAACTTGTGCTGCAGTGGCTGCAGACAGCTTCATAGGTTGCCTCTTAACCCCTTGTGCCACCAGGGAGGCCCGAAAGATATATTTTCAAAATGTAATTAAGAAGTGTGATTTTGGAGACAGATTACCTGAATCATGGTTGGTCACTGACTGGCTATAAAAAACTAATATCTCACCCCCTTGGAGCCAGCACCACGGCCATGTCTTCTAGGGCCAGCCTGAACACCCTGCAGCACCTGGTGGGGCAGCTCAAGCTGGAGGCTGGCGTGGAGCGAATCAAGAGCTCCTGAAACCCACGGAATTGCTTATGAGATGATACAGGAGTTTTGTTATTTAATGAGGCAACTTTTGGAGTGGGCTGGTTATTGGAAGAACCAACCAAGTGATTAAAACATTGAAACTTGCAATCCCCTCTCACCCACCTGGGAGAGGTGCTAGAGGTTGAATCCACTGCAAATGGCCAATGATTTAATCATCATACCTATGTAATAAAGCCTCCATAGAAACCCAAATGATTGGGTTCAGAGAACTTCCAAGGTCTCCCTGGCGGCAACAGAGCTTCAACAGTACTGCATGCAGAACGCCTGCAACAACGCCCTGCTGGTCATCGTTCCAGCTGGAAGCAACCCCTTCCCGGAGCCCAGATCCTGCGCTTTACTCTGAAGACTGAGCTGTAATTTGCTGCTTGGTTGTTGCTCTGAGGACCAGTGACTGCCCTGAGAAGACACTCCATTCCTACCACCAGCTGTGATTTCTTTCCCAAAAGCTTTCAAAACATACCTCTGAGATTTAATGGAGGAAGAAATGTAGCTCCTGGGGGAAACTTATGGAAGACGTTCATTGAGGAATGCTTTCAACAGCAATGCAACGAATGCCTGCCTTCAAGTCTCATGGAAACATGTTTGGCCAGCCAAGCAACTTAGATGTTTCAGACCTGTTCTGTGGCCCTATAGCAAAATTCTACAGAAATTGACGTGTTTCTATTCAAATAAGGAAATTGGGTGAAACCATAGACTTTTAAGTAATAATGGTCTGGTTTGTGGGTAAAGTACTTTATACTTAAACAAATACCTTATCATCAAATATACCAAAATGCACCTCTCTCATAAGTGAATTCCTGGTGTTTCTATACCTGGAATATTATGTATTTTATTTACTGGTTTATATTTTGGGAAGGAAACATTTTTGTTTACTTAAAAAAAAACTGCATATTTGTAACTTGTTGTAAGATTTTTATATTATAACAAAATTTGTTCTTTCCTCATTTCTAAGTGAAGGGCCTCCCCTGGTGGTGCAGCGGTTGAGCGCTGGGTTGTGAGACTGCCCGCAGCCTCTGCAGCGCCAGTTAGATCCCCGGCCACTGGCGAGGGTCCCACAAAAAAAAAAAAAAATAAAGAAAAACACAACCCAATTTCTAAGTGAAGACAAGCAAGTAAAATTAGGGGAAGAGTAAGTATTAATGAAATGATAGGTGGACTTTTCTAAATGAGGAGGTTCTCTTATTTTTAACACTAAGTATGGGAAATATTTCTTAGCAAACTTGTTTGAAAAGAATAATGTTTATATAAGATTGTCCCCTTCTGTGTTTGAAGCAGAGTTGATCTTTGTTTTTTAAATGCCTCTATTTTATAGTTGTGGTTGTACTTTAAAAACAATATTACTTCATGTCTTTAAAAAATGTTAAAAATATAACCTACAGGATATTGCAATGGTTAAAAACAAAGTAGTATACAAATGTTGCAAGTGAAATGCATTCTTACACATGTGTTTATTTGGATAATATGCCTTTGATTTAACTTGTGACACTTTTAAAGACTATTTTGTGTTTGTAATAATAGTCTCTGAAGAGCTTGGAAATAAAATTTCTGCATAACTCATTTTCTACCATTTAAAAAAAAAAACCCTTATATCTTACCTTAGGATTTTCAGCTCCTATGCCTTGCTAGACACCATACAGTTTAAATTAAATTCACATGGTTTAAAAAAATTTTAAAATCCACAAAATAGAAAAGATTGTCATGTAAAAATGAACTATATCATCATTTATTTTCAGTGCTAGTGGTTGCAAAATCCCTACTAAATCTTAGATATTTTAGGAATATTTAGTGGTGGGTCTCCTCTGGTGGCACAGGCAGTTGAGCACTGTGCTGTGAAGCTGTCCACACGGGTTTGATCTCTGCAGCATGGGTTTGATCCCAGCGGGCCGGCGAGGGTCCCACATGACAAGGCAGACCTCTCCTGTCGCGCACCCACTGCTCCCCTCAGCAGTGTATTTCCTCAGTCTGCCTGTTCTGTTCCCCGCTCTGTCTCTGGTGAATCCTCCCACCCTCCCGCACTCTGGCCTGTACCCCAGTTCTTGTATAAATAAATAAATCTTTAAAAAATATTTAGTAGTAAAATTTAAGGTGCTAAACAGAAGTGCATTGCATTATTTCATGATGACTATAAGGGATTATCTTCCCGAGGGCAGGAAGAGCCATCCAAAAGATATTCATTCACTCATTCTTTCTCCTACTTACAGGCAGGATATGAGGACCAACAGATGAATTTGACAGATGCCTGTCATCTACAATCTTATAATATAAGGGAAGAAACAGTGATGCAAATAACTAATTATAAATATTTCACTCCTTATTTTAAAACATGTTCTTTGAGACAATAAAGAATGGGTGATTATCTTGAAGAATTAAATACTAAATGTTTCTGTGAGAAGGTATAGAAAAACATGATTAATTCTGAAAGCCTAAGATCAAAGGCTTCTTCTGTACATTGAGGATGTTTTCAGGTTTAGTGCTTGTTGGTCACAGAAAACTGTGGCAGAGTGTTGTGGCTGTTCTTAAGGGAAGAGTGGGTTTTTAATGTGTGGGGGAGAAAGATTTTGGGGATTTTTGTTTTCTTTTTCTTTTTTTTCCGAAAGATTTATTTATTTATGCAAGCACTGGGTACAGTCAGAAGCGCGGGAGGGTGAAAGAATTCACCAGAGACAGAGGGGAGAGCAGAACAGGCAGACAGACAGAGGACACTGCTGAGGGGAGCAGCGGGCAGCAGGAGAGGTCTGTCGTGCCATGCGGGACCCTCACCGGCGGCCGGGGATTGAACCAGCGCTGCAGAGGTTGCGGGGCAGCTTCACAACCCAGCGCTCAACCGCTGCGCCACCGGGGAGGCCCAATTTTTGTTTTCTTTTGCTTAGCTTTACTAAGAAGAGGATTAAGTTAAGCACTATCTGTGTCAAGAAGCATGTGGGCTTCAAAATAAGCAGCTCTGGAGTTGGAATTTGGAACTGGAGTCAGGTCTTGTTTTGTCACCAATTATTTTGGGAAGCCATTTTCCCTCTCCAGATCATCTGTATTTGGGGCTTAAATAAATGATCCATAGGATGCTTCATCTCATAATATTTACAGATTATCTTGGGAGAAAGATGGGGGGAAGGGAAGAATTGCATTGACAGTTATTTTCATTTTTCAAGGTCCCTACAACATAGTGTTGAGAATGGAGGAAAAGATAGAGCTGTTGGAGGCTGGGATGGCTCTCCACACCGCTGCTGAACAGTCCTGTCATCTTTCCTGGATCTATTTGCAACAGTCTGGCTCAGGATGCACCCAAATCATGGTAAAACAAGTGATGCTGTAGAAGAATCTTAACTCTTTGGAATGGTCTGTCGCAACTGCAGAGGAAGACTATGGTGTAGGAATTTTTCTTTAAATGTGCAAATACGCTAAGTTATAAAGTGCTTTTCTCTTATTTCACTTAAACCTGGATTTTCTTAAAAATTTTTTCATTATCCTCCCGGTAACTTCCAGCCTCCCCGCCCCCATCATCCTGCACATATATCCCAGGACTTATTATGTGTTGCTTTTCCAGCTATGTGACTTTAATTACACAAATTCCCAGAAGGCCAAACATTTGCACAGATAACATGAAGGGTTACTGATTAATTTTGTGATTTTTTTCCCTTTTTCCCCCCATGTGGAACTCTCATGGGTTTCACAGCCTTATAAATTCGCCCTTGTTCTTTGTGTCTTCTGTGAGTACCTGGGAAAGAGCTGTTTCAAGAAAGTGTACCTTTAACATTCCTGGTGTTGGAAATGCTTAGGGGTCAGAGTCAAGTGTGGGTGCACATGTGCAGCTCACATTGTGCGGCGAGAGGGGCCTCTTGCTATGTCTCATATGCCATTCACAACTAGCGTTATTTTCTCTGACAGAGGAAGCCTTAAGGTTTCCATCAGCTATTTGTCAGCAATAGCACAAGAGATGTTAAAATCCATCTTACCTTCGGTGCATTGCTATGACCTGAGGAACGATGTGCTATGTCTTGACCTTCACAAAGCCGTGCATCTCCCACGGTGAACTGAGGAATTAAAAACACCAGGTATGCACATGAAGTCTCAGTCTACCTAGACTGGGGTGGATTTCAGAAGATTCCCACTTGTGCAATCCACCAGCCTTAATTACCCAGCTTATGCATCCATACCACCTTTGTGTTTCCAAGAATAAAATATTGATGGAGATGAGGGAAGACACTGATAGAAAGGAGACCCCATTCTGTTGTTAGTTGTTACACGCTGATGGAGGAGGAAGGGTCCGCTACAGGCAAAGGATCGTAAAGTCTCCGGGAAAATGTTTATAACCTTTTATTATTACAAAAGCAGTACCTGTGATATCAAATTAGAAAAGATAAACAGACATTTAAAAGATTATAAAATTAAAACACATTCTTACCAAGAGACAACCACTGTCAATATTCTTTTAGATGCATGTGTTTGCTAAGACATCACATCGTACTTGTTGTTTTAGTCAGCGATCTGGACCTTTCCATGCCAGGATGTTTTCAGCTTCCATTCATAAAAATAATTAGACCAAAATCAAATTTCCCAATGACCTAAAAATGTTCTTTGTTAGCTCTGACCCAGGACACCTCTGGCATCTGGGTGTGGCCCTTGAGTTTGCATTGAGTGAATCTCCACAGCCATAGTAAGGTGGGACTGAAGAGGAAAGTCCTTTCTGCTCCAGGCACTTGCCGCTGGTGTCTGCCTGTTTCCTCATGATAGTTAGCCTGTTCCTGTACCTCTTAGAGCTTCTCTAAATTGGAAGTTTTGACTTTGGATTTGAAGGTTTGGAGTGGGAGACAAGATTTTACAAAAATCAAGAAATGGTTGTTATTAAAAACACCAAGTGCTGGGGCCTCCCTTGTGGCACAAGGGGTTAAGTCTCAGCACTATCAAGCTATTCACAGCCACTGCTGCACAAGTTTGATCCCCAGCCAGGGAGCTGATCCATATGGCTCAGCAGACCTCTCCAGTCTTGCCCGCTGCTCCCCTCAGCAGTGTATTTCAGTAGATCTGCCTGTTCTGCTCCCCGCTCTGTCTCTGGTGAATCCTCTCACCCCCCACACCTCTGGCCTGTACCCCAGCTCTTGTATGCATAAATAAATAAATAAATATTAAAAAACAAAACACTAAGTGCCATGAACCAAGGAGAGGAAGACCCAATGGATCATGGTGGCTGGGGCTGAAAGAGATCACTCTGGTCATGGAGAGGCATCCTTTCAGGAGTTCCCAAAAATAGGGAAATACTAAGAGGGAGCTAAGGTCTCCAAATGAAGACAGACCCCTAACAATTTGGGCAAAAATGAAAATGTGATCTCAATTATATCCACAGGCTGGTAACATTTGGATTATACCTGGAAAGATCATCAAGTAATGCATGCACAAGGTTTAAAAAATCATACTGTATAAGGATATGTCAAATGAAAAACTGAATTCTCCCTTTCCTGATCCTCACTGTCCCCAACCCCTGCAAACAGTTTCTATTATGCTTCGTTGTAACAGTTAAAAAATATATAATCAATTAAAAATATATAATCAAATTATGCTCCTATTTATCTTTGTTGAATTGGGTTACTATACATTAGCCTCTAGGGACAAAACATGAGGAATTTGGAACTGCAATGGTTTCTCAGCTCTGATTAACTCATTAACTCCTATATATATTTTTTATTATAGTATTATTTATGGCAAGTTTCTTAAACCACACTTTGCCTCTTTTTCCTTTGTCTATAGATTGATTTCAATAATCAAAAACCAAATGAAATATTTATAAAATCATATGAAAACATATCTCTCTAGAGAAGAAAATATAGCCCTCTATCTGGAACACTCAAGTATCTGCCACATACCTGTGTCTAAAGGATTGTCTTTCATTTTCTTTTTCACTTCTACAAATCTTCTTGGGTCTTATTAGGTAACTGTATCTCATGTTTTCTTCTTTCTTAGCTTATTTTTAGATTGCGCTGGGTTACTTCAGAAGTAATTTTTTCTTGTGGGTGTGTAGTTACTAAATTTACTGAAGTCTTAATGTGCATGTAAGTACCTTTCTTTAGCCTTCATACTTGAAATTGGCTGGATATAGAAAACCAGCTTCAAAATAGTTTCCCTTAGAACTTTGGGAGACACTGTGGCATGGCCTTTTGGAGCTCCCATTGCCAATGCCAATCCACAGGGGGGCAGATTACTTTGACAACTGCCCAAATCAGGAGAACTTCTCTCTGGAGCGAAGGTCTTTAGGGTAGCACTGTCTTTTTTCTCGAGCTGCTGCAGGAGTCCAGATTTCTCTCAAATATGGTGTTCCTTCTCTTTGCCCTCATATGTTCACCAGTAGTCCTCCCAGACAGATGTCCTAGGCTTTTGGGAGACAAAAATTGCCACGCTAATCATTCTATTTCCAGAGGGGGAGAAAGCAAGACCCACCCATCCCAGCTGTCGCAAACATAGATCTTTCACATTGCAGACTAAGTTGTACATTCTGAGCAAATGCCAATCTTTACCTCTGGGGTTGGGGGCTTCTGTTACCTCTACTATAATTCCCCCTTTTTTCTTTCCTATTTTTTTTTAAGATTTATTTATTTATGCATACAAGAGCTGCGTTGCAGGTCAGAGGTGTGGGGGGTGGCGGAGGCGGGTGGGAGGGGGGTGAGAGGATTCACCAGACAGAGTGGGGAGCAGAACAGAAGGATTCACTGAAATACACTGCTGAGGGGAGCAGTGGGCGAGACAGGGGAGGTCTGCTGCTGCACCATGTGCGTAGCTCCCTGGCCAGAGATTGAACTAATGCTGCAGTGGCTGCTGATAGCTTCAAAGTGCTGAGACTTAACCCCTTGCACCACCAGGGAGGACCTGCAAGTTATGTTGATAACTGGAAAGTATAAGACATTATGTATACACGCACCATACAAACACATGCACTCACATACATACAGAGAAATGTTGGAATGACAGTGGGGCTATCACTTAACATTGGTACCTGATAGTAGGGAAATACCTATTTTTATTTACAGTGTGTTTTTATAATGAGCACATTTTACTTTTATAATGACAACAAAAATAAGGTGTGTGTGTGTGTGTGTGTTTTGAAGAAAGAAATGACATCTTTGTCATATACAAATCAGACAGAGAGCAAGGGTATAAACCTCTCACAGGAATGGAGGTGTTCCATGGGTCTGTAACTCTCTTCCTCCCCTACAAGGCAAAACATTTACATGCAAACTAATTTTACATGAGCCCGTCAGCAAAATCAAAGGAATACAAAATATTTACTGAGCACTTATATGTCCAATGCTCGGTAATTCAACCTGAGAGGTTGCTCCAAAAAAAGAGACCTCAGGAGGGGACAGTAGCAACGGGCAGACTCTCAGATCCATCTGACCAGGGCCAATCTGCTTTATAGTAGAGGGTCCCCGGGAGACTGGATACGTTCTGGGCCTCTTTCCAGGTGTTCTAATCTCTGAAACTATAAATGTCATGTTACCCATTTAATCAGATTCCAAAAGGACTTCTTGGCAGAAAAATATGGGAACTACTGTGGCAGATCAACTACAAAGACAAACTAGTTTATTGGTTCAGGCTTCAGAAGAAACACTAGATGAAACTAAAATTTGCTGTAAGAAAAATGTGATAAATCTAGTATTACTTAAAAGCTTCTAAAGCAATAGTGAATAATGATAATAATAAGTTACATACCTCTTCCACGTGCACAACTTCTGCCCCGTGACTTCAAAGAAAGCTCTTCAAATCCAGAAGGAGATCCACAGCCCTGCCGAGGAGATATTTATGAGGCTGTTATGGCGCCTAGGATGTTCCTATTATATTCACCCTCCAAGCCTCCAGATATCCAGGACCCCAGCAAAACAAAAGACTGGTGGAATTTTAAAAGGGAGTGTGCTTTTTCCTATAACACAAATGATCAGGTTTGCATTGTTATTCAATTTTGAACTCTTGGCATTAATTCTACTTATAGTATGCTTCACCCATTTTAATATGGAGAGACAGAACTGGAAAAGTCCTGCAAGCAGCCTTAAATGGAACAGAAAGCTGATAGCCAGAGGATTAATTTAATAAATGTCACCAGACAAAGAATAACATGTAGAATTTGCACAATGGAGCTTAAGAAGAATAAGTGAAACATGATCATCTGGTTTGGCACAGACAGGACCATCACTCTAGCACGTCACCTCTGGGGGCTGCTGCAGCTACTCTTTGGCAAAAGGTCAAGGGGAGGGCTGTACTGTTTGGAGGAGCAAAGTTTCAGGGGTTGGTGGTGAAGGAGAAAGTGGTGACCATTTTGGGGGGTGGGTCATTGCTGAGTACAAGACAATGGACCCTTCACCTTTGCAGACCCTCAGACTGCAATAGCGCAGGAAAAAATTCTCTAATAATCATAACTTTGACCACTGGAGGGTATAAAAGTCATTGGAAGAGCTGAATAAATCAAGATCAGACTATTTTAAGAATTTCCTAGAGAAATTCTAAGTTTACAAAGAGATAAGGGTTTGAGAGATTGTTGGTGCTGTTATCATATACCTTTATATTCTTTAGGAGTCAGTGACTTCAGACATTTAAAGAAAGAAAGGATATGGTTCTTTGCTGTTGTTCTTTTAGATGATTACCTAGACCTTGGAGTCTCAAAATTTCAGGGCCACATAAGACAATGTAGATCCTGATTCAGTAACTCTGGGGTGGGGTCAGACCATTTTTTCACAAGTGCTCAGGTGCTACCTCTACTGTTGGTCTGAGGACCACTTGTAGTGAGGGTTTAAAACACTGCTAATGACATATTACTTCAGATATGCAGAGACACGTGCTTAGAAAAAAAATGCCTTACCAATTTAGTTCTACTGAGTAATGGTATCGAGTCATTGGTGTAGAAGGATTTGATGACTTTTGGTCCTCGGTGTCCAGTTATCCTCCCTCCTGAACTCTGCAACTGTCCCAAAGCCAGGTGCAGTGCCAGAAGCACCCAAATTTCCTTAATCACCCAGCTGAAGTCTACCACCCATGGATTCAAGAAAATCTTGTCACACAGAAATAACTTCGGAAACTTTCTTTCCTAAGTTCTTTCCCCACCCTTATAAGCTCGAGCAATTAGGGGAAATATTTCCACTTCAAAGAGCCGTGTAACCTATTTTGTGTATCAGAGGAGAGAAAAATGCTGGTGAGTAATGTCGGTTTTAAGATATGTCTGTAAGATGTGTCCATATATGCACACACTTGTTGAAGACTTCACTTTTTTCCTTCACTATATAATTTATCCTTTTGTTAACTTAGTATTTAATTTTATAGCAGTTCCAGATGTTAAGTCATTTCAGACTTATATATGCCAAAATGTATGGGAAATTTCTGATAAACTCATCTTGCTACTATCATACCTATTACAAAATTACTGATATTTCTTTGGTATCATCCAAACAGGCCATATTCAAGTTTCCATGATTATTTCAAACATATCTGTGACCGGTGGTTTTTTAATCCAAAGTCTACACATTATATGGAGGTCTAGCTCTTAAGTATCTTTCACCATGCTCTTTCTTCTTTGCACATTGACTTGTGGAAGAAATTAGATCAATTGTCCAGTAGTCTATATTGCAGTAGGTTTCTAATTTATTGGATTTAGATAAGGGCATCTACCCATTTATCATGAGAGAAAGCCCTTGAAGCACATAGAACCTGTACTAGCCTAGACTTACTAGTGGAAAAAGGTGGCACAAAGATTTTGAATGATGTGCTTATGAAGATCTGAAATTGAGATGAATCCTCATCTCATAATTTCTTACATAGTTATTGTTCTACTAAACTTTCTTGGCTTTGTGTTTCTCTGTCTAGGGTAAACATGGTGGAATTCTGTAAATATATTTGGCTTCAAAAAGTGGGTTTATCAAGTTTGGAGACAACCTAAGTGCCCAACGACAGATAAGTGGATAAAGATGTGAAACACACACACACACACACACACAATGGAATATTAGTCAGTTATAAAAAAGGGTGGAATCTTGCAACAACACAGATGGAACTAAAGGAGATGATGCTAAGTAAAATAAGTCAGAAGAAGAAAGACAAATACTGGATAACTTTATTCCTATGTGGAATATAAAGAAACAAAACAGACAAAACTAAACTAAAACAAACCCTACAAATTTGACTAGAGCTGAGGCTACTAGAGGGGAAGTGTAGGAGGAGGGGAAGGAGTAAAGTGGGGCGGAAGATACTCAATGGACTATGGTAGAGGATTGTGGGTGCTCTGGTGATGGGTGTGGTGTGATAACATACATTTGTAAAGATATGAAGCTATACCCCTAAAACATATACAGTGTTGTAAAAAAAAAAGTTACCTCAACAAAAAATGATGCAATTAAAACAATAATAGTGAAAAGTGGACTTATCTATTTCACTGTGCAAGTAATTTGTTAACAAACAACTATAAGTTCCATGAGGACAGAGTCTAGTCTAATTTGCCACAATATTCCTAGGGGACAGCAGAGCCTTAGTTCCCTGCTAAAAGAATGTTTGTTGAATGAATGGATAAGTGAATGAATGAGCATATACTATGTTTCACCAGAGAGTGATAAAGCCTTCAGTTTAAATATCCTCTCACCCTCTACAAAGCTTCTGTGCATAGCCTGTCATTTGATCATGCAACAGCCATGTAAAATAAATGCAGTATCCATTTCATTTAACTGATAAAGAAATGACATGGAAAGCATTCCTCAAGCACGTGGAGAGCATAAATAAAAATGAGACCAGGTTCCAGGGGGTTTTCATTTCATCGTTTGTCTAACTCTTTATACAACTTCACTCACTCTGATAAGGGATCTGTGTATGGTATTTTACAATTTGTAAAACCTCTTAGTTCACTTGGTCTTTCAGCAACCAGCCATGGTAGGGGTGATTATCTTAACTTTATAGATGACAAAACAAAGCCCAAACTCATGACTACTAAGAGGAAAAGCCTAACTCCACCCCAGATTTTCTGACTTGAAATCAGTTTGGTTGTTCTCTCACTTGTTCCACTGTCAAACACAAGTCCTTCAACTCCTTCCTTTCCCCCTTCGGTGACTGTTCACTGTGCTCTGTGCTCCAGGAGCCATGTGTGTTTCATCCATCTTTTCATATATCATATCTTCTTCCTGTTTCCAGCACACTGCCTAGGGTTGTCCTATACCCCTGGTGCAGAAGCAGGGCTTTCTCCCTCGTGTACCTACTTCTATCCTCTTAACTAGATGAGGACCCACAGATGCTGCTGACTGGCTGGACATCTAACTAGTCAGTGTTTTGGATGCCTTATTTCTAATAGGACTCCAGAAATGAATAAACTAGAGATTTTTGCTATTTGGCATAAATTATTATGGATCTCAGATGAGTAGCTGCTTGAGTGGATGGTATAAAATAATCTATATTTCCAAAACCAAACAGAAAAAAAAAGCAGTATTAGCAATTGGTTGGAGAAGCAGCTGTTGTTTATATGTTAACAGAATGGTGGGATTCTGGTTGTTTGGAGAATACTTTCATTATTTTGAATATATACTCTCCCACAAAGACACCCCCTTTTACTTTTTCTTACAATATAACAAACTGTTCTCCAGCCATTTAAAAATAACCTTTTTCTGGGTTCATTTTTAAGAAATTGTTTTTAAAGGGGTTAGATACATGTATTTTCTCAATTTAATCTTGAACTCAGGTCTTGGTAATGTGAGAATATAGGAATTGGGGTGTCCACCTTTGAAAAATTACTTTGGAAGTTTTGCATTGGAGAGAGGGTTGGGGGGTGGGAGCAGTTTTATTACACACGTTCTTTTATGGGTTGTGGCCAGATATTTTCAATGTGCTATTATCCTAGCTTTATGGAGTTCTTGGACCCCATGGATATAAACCTCTGGGAATAAATGGTTGAGTGAGAGCTATATGCTATTCTGCCTGGGAAGAAATACATTTGTGTTACATTTCAATTTTAATGAATTATTCACAAGGGAAGTAATAACTTAATAACTACTAGCTGCACATAAGTCAAATAAGAGATTTTTAAAAACCTATGGACTGTATACAAATGCTTCATTTGTGTTTTACCTACATGCAGATGATCAAATCAAATCATACTGATTCTTGCTTTCACAAATGGCCAACTCTACCACTGGAGGCTTGGTGAAAGAGACTAATTAGCCAATGAAGGAAAGATTCTGCCACTTAAGTACTTTCAGGGGTTAGGCTGAAATGGGACATGAAATTGGATTTCATGGTACTCACTTTTTGAGGAGAGAAAATCAATATGTCTATGATGAATTCCTCTTTTGAAAGTCTTCTTGTTTCTATTCTTTTTCAGACTTTAGCACTCTAATTAAATGCCTCTTAAAATGTTCTTTTAGTGCTGAGTCGGTTTCTGCCTTTGGCCTCATTTTCTCCCTCTCTTTATCTTATTTTCTTCTTTCTTTTATCAAACTCTGCGGGAAGCTGACACATCTCAGCTGGCAGGGATTGAAAACACAGTATCCCTTGTCACGCCTGAGCCCTGCACATTCCACCAGTGTGAGTTCCAGCTCTGACAGCCAGTTAATTTCTGTGCCAATTCTGAGCCGAGTACGGACAGTGCCCCTCATCCTGCAGGTAGGATAATCGCTCCAGCTGCAACATTACCAACTGTCCGAGGAACAGTATTCTTCACGTTTGCACTTTGCCTGGGACAGGCCTTCTGAGAACCCAGGAAGATGGAGCTGGAAGGAAGAGCTCCTCCTCTCTGGTGCCTGGATCTCTAAGAGGGGAGCAATCATCTTCTAAAAGATCCCAGGATTACGGCGGCTCTGATACCTGTGGGAGAATTGAGACTAGGTTATATTCAGCTTGGGTTTTGCTCTTCAGATTAAAATTGATCCAAGTTCAGTAAAGCAAGGAGCGACAGAGAAGGGGAAGGGAGGCAGAGAGGGGAGAGGAGGAAAAGGAAGAGGCGAACATATGTGCATGTTCAGAACCCTAATAGGATTGGGTGAGAGCCATTGAATACCTGGTCCACTGCAATTGTAAAGTCTGGTTTCACCATCAGGAGTGGGGTTTGGCATCTGGAAGTGATTTCTTTCTGTGATTACCTTTGGACTGCTATACTTGTTTGTTCCTTACTAACAAGCAAGCACAGACCCAGAGCAAGCCTTTCATGCTAACAAGCAAACAAGCCATCAGGCTGCAGATTTCAAAACCAGAGGCAGGAGGCGGATGTGAAGTGGGTCAAAATTCTGTGGCTTCTTGGGGGGAAAAATAGTTGAGAAAGAAAAAAGTGACTTTGTCCTCTTTAGCCCTGTCTCAAAGCATATGGAAAGTCAACAACTATTTCATAGATCATATTCCATCCACGTATTTCTAAACTTTTGGAATGTAACTAACACTCTTCAGGTGAGCAGTAAAAGACACTGGACTCTGCTTAACTCCAGGATGTAATGTTGGTGAGTATCTATGGACCTTCTTCCTTCTGAAACACATGGGGCTTCCAACCCCAGAGAAAAGGTGTCTGATCTTCTCTGTGTGGACTTAAAATGTGGGCAAAGATTAAAGAGGTGAAATAAAAAAGACCAACTTCACTCTCCCATTTTGCCATGCAAACTATATCATTTTGCCATGCAAACTTCTTCAATAACCTGTTCTTATTTTGAGTTGCCTTATTTTGATAAAAGCCAATTACCAGCATCAAATCTCCAAAGAGTATGATTATAATTTACACACATTGGTTCCATAAAATAAGCCCATGAGTTTTTAACATTGACCAGTTTTTATGAATCCTAAGGGGAGGCAAGGCAAGCTTTAAGAGCAGAAGGCTTGAAAGAAAATACATTAGAGAATAGTAATGGAATAATAACGATAATGATAGGCACCAAGATTTCTTTAGTACTTTTAATGTGCTGGGCACGATGCTAGATCTTTATAGATAGAATCACTTTTATTTAATCCCACCCCAAATTCAGTGGTATGAATTCTGTTATTATCCCCAGTTTACTGATAAGGAAAGGGAGCTTTAGGGATGTTTTTTATCCAAGGTCACACAGCTAGTAAAAGGCAGAACCAGAACTTGAATCTGGAGATCACAGGAGAATGTGGAGAAAATCTGCTGAATTTATGTTTCAAACTCATTCTCCTCAACGAACTCCAGTATGACTCAACTTTCCTCAGGATTTGTATATGGAGCATGCACATGTACAACTACGTCAGCGCTTGGTTTTTGCAGGGAGATGGTTGATAAGGAACAGTTACGTGTATTCCCCAGCTTGTTTAGGGAGATGAGCCGGGGTCATCTCCACAGTGATATGACCACAAGAGATCACATCCTCTGGAGCCCCTGTGGGCAGGGAGTAAGAAAACTGGACTTAAACTAACCAGGATTTCTGCCTCCTGGCATTCAGGCCCTGTAGATTTCCTTCCCCTTGACTGTGGGATGGTCCTAGTGACTTACTGCTAATCAATAGAGCAGAGAAAAATTGATCTGATATCAGTACTTACATTAAGTTATGAAAAGACCTGCGCTCCCACAGGTTTGCTCTGAAGGAAGCAGCTGCTGTGTTATGAGCTGTTCTGTGGCAAAGAAGTGACCTTTCCAGCCAGCCACGAGGGAGGACGTGAAGTCTGCCAACAGCCAGGAAAGTCAACTTGAACATGGACCCTTCCCAACTTGGCACTGAGATGACTGCAGTCTTATGAGAGATCTTAAATTGGGGGCACCCAGCTAGGCCATGCCCAGATTCCTGACAACCAGAAACTAAAATAACTGTGTGTTGCTTTAATCACTAAGTTTTGGCATAGTTTTTTAACACAGCATAGATAACTCATATCCTTCCTAAGGGTGAAGGAAGGAGATTAAAGTCAGCCCAACCACTGGGATAGATGACAGAACCCTCGTTCAAGGAGTGGGGCAAACTATGTTTCCTTCCAACTATTTCCTTTACTGGAACACCAGCCAAGCTGGAGCCAGGTTGTACTTCAAGAACAGTCCGCTCTGTCTTTGCTAACCCTCGGATATCCCAGCTTCCCCCCATTCTGCTTATTGTATCATGGTTGATTATGTTGATGGTCCAGGGGAAAGTGAAAGTGAATTTAAACTAAATTTGCACCTGTTGAGAAAAGAACCAGGATGAAAGGGGAGGCTTTCACTCAACCAACAGTGAGAAGCAAAATGGGCCCTTATTCTGTCCTCAGGTGGCTCACAGTATAATAGTGAATACAGACCTCGATAAATGAATGTGAGCCATCCAGAGAAGCCGGGCACAGTCAAACAACTCAGCCAAGCAGAGAATACTCAACAGAATTACAATCCTTATTCAGTGTCTTGAGGTAACTTCCACATGGGGAATACATTCTTTTTTTTTTTAAGATTTATTTTATTTATATAAGAGCTGGGGTATAGGCCAAAGGCACGGGAGGGTGAGAGGATTCACCAGAGACAGAGTGGGGAGCAGAACAGGCAGATGGACCAAAAGCACTGCTGAGGGGAGCAGCGAGCAAGTCAGGAGAGGTCTGCCTCGCCATGTGGGTGTCTCCCTGGCCGGCCAGGAATCCAACCTACACTGCAGAGGCTGCGGACAGCTTCACAGTGCTGCGCTCAACCCACTGCGCCACTAGGGAGGCCCAGGGAATCCACTCTTAATGCACACCAAAACATCTTTAAAATCACCTCTCTCTATTCCAAACACTCAAAATCAACCTTACTATTCAGCTACTGCTAATTTCCTCCCAACTCCCAGCTTAGGACTCTTTAAAACCTGGCTTTTTACACATCCCCCCTTCACCATCTTCTGTTCTTTCCTGATGGACATCGTCTCACCCAAGAGTCACATACTGGAGTCACACACCGGCTACAGCTTGCTTAGTTTGGCTTCCTCACAATCAAAGGAGTTTTGCGTAACAAATTCAGATTTGGGGTTTGACTTAAAACAAAAAAAGTTAGATCTGGCTACAAAGAGGCAACATTCTGGCCTGACAAGAGTTGACTGGACTGAGCTGAGGTCAGAGCTTCACCTACTTTTGCTTTAGAGGCCCCAACTCTGCTGCTTCAACATGGCCCCTTCACCCGCTGCACCCCTTCCCACCCCTCAAGCATTGCACTGTGTGATGCCTGTCTTCGCTTCACACGTAGCTCCCTGCTCTGCTCTCCAGACAACAGAGAAAGGAGCAGAAGTCAAGAGGACAACGCCAGGATTTTCTTTAGTGGGAGGAAAGAGGCAGAGAATTCATGAGATAAAAACATTTGTTCCTGGTACATGTCAAGTTTTGAACTTGGATCAGCGTCACGAAGGAAAAGTGTAGATTCTTGTTCTGTTCTTACAAACACAATGATTGTGATTGCAAAGACCGTGTCCTTAACCACCAGGAACACAGTCTTCGTGGAAGGTGTCCTGGTGGCTTGGGCTGAAGCCCAAGGGTGAAGGATACTTGGGGTCTGCCGTGCCCATGTCAACACTATTAAGGGGCCCTGAAAGCTGCTCTTTGGACACAGGGAGCTTGGAGAGCAAACCAAGAGCATTTGCTCTGCAAAGTATCACAGCTCAGCTCTGTTTTAAGAAGGAAACCAGGAATGAGCTGATGGGTTTGCTCTGGCAGCTAGATGCAGAGCTTGCTTAGGAAAGGAAGACCAAGGTTTATTATGATTGGGTAAAGCCCTTAATTGCCACTTTGGATGCAGCTTAGTTTTTAAATTCATATTCTGTAGCCAAGGGCCTCTCCTCATACAGAAGTACTGCAGCTAATTAGTGGCTGGGCATCTTGTAAGAAATGGCTATTTACTTTATTTTTAGTAAAAGCTTCTTGGAATTTTCCTTACTTCTGCCTCCTTTCAGTGCCCCTGGCTGCCAGAGGATGTTAACAGGAATGAGCAAGGTCAAACTCCACTCTGCCAGTTAGCCTTTTCCAGGGCCCTTTTTTTTTATCACTGGCAGAAAGAGCATGGGTTCTGGCTCCTTCCAGTCTGGCCCACCTGGTGACCCAGCTGCAGTGGCAAGAGCCAGGTCCCATGACGGACTCCTTGGTTCCACCTCAGAGATGGTGGAACCCTGAGCTTTTCCTCCCAAGGAACAGATGCTAATATGGACAAGGAGAGATGCTTTTGCCCTAGGAAGATGGGCCTGGAGTGAGGGTACACAGCACCTGACTGGATGTCTTCCCTTTGTTCCTCCAGATCTACATCCCACCCTCTTTTACCCTCCTCTGGAACCCAGAAGGCCACCTCATCAACAGGATCCCTGGTCTTCTGGTTTCCCCGTGGGATAGGCCAACATGGAACACGAGTTAGACAGTGAGGTAGAGGGGTATCATTCCCTGGCTCCCATCCCATGTGGCTGCAGCTCAGGAGACCCTCTTTCTACAGCTTGCCCCATTCAGATTCCAGAAACAATGTCTTCCCCTCCTCCTTTCAGACTTGAGGCAGCAATGGAGCCCCACAATTACTAGTCCTAGAGTGGTATTTATGGATCCTACCCACATCTCTGCAAATAGTTCACTTATTAAATGCTCAGAATAGCCTAATTTGAGCATAGCCTCTGTTTCCTAAAAGAATCTTGGATGATAACAGCTATCATTGCCTAGCCATATTTGAAGAACAAGGTTGCTTTTCCTCAGGATCAGGGAGGGAATCTATCAGGATTGGAGTCAAGACTTATATGTACAGAGAAGAGTCATACTCCCCCATGCCAGAGAGACGAAACAGACCCACTACTATTGATGAAATTGAGTGGACTCAGATTCTCTTCCTCTGGCAAGACGCAGCTCCTTTGGTCTCAGACAACAGTCACTTCAGGGCTGTACACCAAATTTGATTTGCCAGCAAATGTTCCTTC